GCTGGCTGAATAGATCATTGCATTATTCCTTGTATCATTTTAATTACAGGTTCCCAGACAACATTATAAAGCTTTAAGTTAATTGCCTCCAATGGTTTGCAAATTTTCTTATTTTAACATGACAAAATAAAGTTCAGATTAAAACTGTACAATTGTTATAGTGGTAAAAGTAACTCACAATAGAAGAAAGACCAGAGAAGCATTAAGAGAGATCAAAGATATTGGGCCATCATCTATAATATGCTCAATAGATAATATGGTCAGCTGTAAGACTGGTTTAGCAAGTATTGCAGAAAAATGAAACCTTTCATGCTTTGGAACTTCATTTCTGGCCCAAAGCAGCATGCCATCTTAAAAGCTATATACAAAAGCAGAGACAAAGTGAATTAATGCTGGCATGTTCATACTGATGTGCTAAATAACTACTATGAAAATCAAGACAAAACTTGTTTTGTAAATACAAAGCACGCATAGTTTCTATATGTAATGACTATGGGCCAAATAACGCATCCCTGCTGTTCCCTCTGGTGGCTGGTTGTCTGCAGAGCTTCCTCTAAATGCCACTGAGCAAGGAGCATTTCTTCTGTATGGGAAAGAGCAAAGGGCGAGACTGAACACAACTGGATTCAGTGCTAAGCACAGCAGACTCCTCACCCCTGAGATAGCTTCCTCTCACTTGCCCCTCCACACTGGGCTAACATTTGTAAAGAGAAAGAGGTGCTATTATTCCTTCATGCCTGTATGGGTGTTTTTTCCATTGGTGGGAGGAGAAGGGGGTTATAATTATGTCCATGATTTGGTGTTTCTCCCCAGGATGATATATACTTTTTTTCATAGTGTAATTATTATGATAGATTATTTATACCTAGAGACTTCAACAGATATCAGGGCATCATTGTGGTAGTCACTATGCAATCTCATACGAGACAACTCTTGCAGAACTCAATCTATACAGACATGTCAGGCATAGAGTGGGAGAAGCAATTACTATCATCACCATTTTATAGATGGGGAATTGAGACAGAGAGAGATTAAGTAGGTAATACAGGGAGTCTGCAGTAAAGTCAGAATTTGAACACTGATACGACTTTTGCACATACACACAAATACCAGATGTGTGGACACAACACTTTTGGACATAACTTCCATTAGCTTTAATAGAAAATATGTCTAAATTCCTTTGAAAATCTCAGCTATGGCCTATTAAATATCTAACACATGCAAGGTAATTTTGTGCACCTACCTGAAAATTTAGGCTTTAATTCAATAATATAATGTTTTGTGCGAAAGTGGAGAAGGAAAAAGACTGTTTTGTTAATAAGAACTCAGAAAGCTTCTAGAAAGGGACCAAAAAAGATTCCCAGAAATAGAATGAGACAGAAAGCAGATGGGAAATAGAATGTGAGTGTGTGAGGTTAAAAGTTCAGCAACTGGGCTAAGCTGAGTATTCAGGGTGGAAAGCCTAGGCTTGAAGTTAACAGTTCCTCACAGACCATTTTTCTGCAGAAGCTGAGGACTGAAAACTTAGTACTTAAGTGAGATGCACAATTACCACATAGGTCAGAGAAAGGCATCTCTGTATGGTAAGATGGTTAAGTAGGAGATGGAAGGATGCAGAGTCTAGGGACAGAACATAGGAAGGGAAAGCTGTGTACCTGGTATCTTGGATGAGTTTATGGGAGAAGAACTGAGTCGAGCCAGACACAAGAAGTGGAGAATCCTTCATTATGTCCTAGGTCTCTAGTCAGCTGCCTCCCTTTGGACCTGTAAGCTGGATAGAGACTAAATATTATCCCACACTCCGTGATACTAAATGCTTAGCTGGAGTAACATCTAACATTTTCACATTAATGACCAGCTAAGGATTACTTACAATACACAATTTTTAAACTGTAATCTGAAAATTCTCCAGTTTCCAGTAGAAAAAATAAATATGATTTAGATCTCATACTGAAAAAGTGACAGCTAGAATAAGAGAGACCTTTTTAAGTTTCAACATTTTACTTGAAAAATGTAGTAAGAATTTTTCACCTAATTTGAGCCTATTGTTTAATGTGATTGGCAATGAATGCTGTTATCTGAATGAAATGTGAAATGCTCCAGACTCTACATCACACATTGCTCTACAAAGCCAGCCAAGAACTACAGAACTGAATTGCATTGTTTTATCACTTGTATGTTTTTCCTTTATTTCTTTTAATAGATAATAAAAGTAAAATTTAGATTGCTATTTGCGTCCTGGGTTCTCAGTCTTGAACGATACCAAATGCTAATTAATTTGCACTTCTTTCTGTTGTGAAGTTTTTATCTGATAGAACCTATCAATAGTGAGAATTTTATAGTAAAAAGAAATGGTTGGTGGAAGGAGACACTGTGGGCAAAATCCTGGACCCACTGAAGTCAATGTCACAACTACCATTTCACCCTATGTGCATTTGAGTTCGAGAAAGGGAACAAAAGGATGTCAATCCACATGCACAATTCAGTTCTGGAAAGGAAAGAGGGAGCCATTTTGAGAGGCAGAAAAGTTATCAAACCACCTATTTGCTGCATTAATCATTTTGATGAAGTGGTATCAGAGCCTTGGTTGCTGGAAACCAGCTTAGTAGGCTAGGGAGCTGCTGCACCTAGCCCCAGAACAAAGATAAGGGACAGACATAGTAGGAATGAGATCCCAGCACAGAGATATTATCACAATAGGGACCCGCTAGAATGCAGATAAATGTGAAGCTGAAAAAGCTTCACAGGCAAAATAAATAAATAAATAAAATACATGAAAGTCTTGAGCCAGCAAAGAGAAAAAATAAACAGAGAAAAAGTAAATGGAATTCTTTCAAGTATTTCAAACAGCAATTTTAGATGTGGGACTAACAGGTACTGAAAAGAAAATGCAGGAATAGGTGCACCAAGGCAGAGTGAAAGGAACAGAAAAGGGAAAGGCAATAGAACAAAACCCAAGGAGAGACAGGTTGTTACATTTTTCAAAGTATTTAAAAACTTATTTTATATAAGATTGCACAAATCTTATATAAACACACAACTGTTTGATTGTACATACATCAGGATATGCACATATACTATTCCTTCAGTACAGAAGAAGAGATTTTTCTGATTAAGTTAAATTACACAAGTAGGTACATATGACTTATGATAGAGGCAGCATCACATGATAAATCTTTCCTTTTTAATAGCAACCACTGTGTGGTTGTGTAGTTTGTGTATAAAGAAGTTTTGCACAGTTTCACCATATTTTAAATGTAAATTCCTAATGGGAGGAGGAAGGAGCTGATCTGGAGCCTCATGAGCAGGGCAGAGGGACTTCCAGTGACTTTCAGAGATCAAGGACATCTGTAGAATGAGTTCCTTGTCCCTACTGCTAACTTGGGGTCCAAAATTACTCCATTCACAACAACTCTCATGAGATTAAATATGCTAACATCATACAAATAGTAAAGGCATTATAATGATGCAAATTATGGGACTGGAAAACATTTGGAGAATATGATCAAATGCATGAGATAATGACTTCTCTGCATCATGATGGTTGCGTAAACCACACAGTATAGTGCAATGTGAGGCTTTAAACTCCAGAGATATATTTGCACAAAATTCAGCCTTTACTATTGGTAAAAGTTTCATAAGGATTTAGCAATTTAATGTAAAAAGGGTAATTATTTTGCCAGGCTCTTTGTTGTTTCGGTGCAAAGTAAATACTGCAAAGGTGTGAATATAGCAGAGCTGTTTCAAGGCTGATTTCAGCTGAATTTCTATTGCTCTATGCAAACATAAGGGACTGACATATTTCTGTGTTGGTTAATAAGACCCCACAAATGCCAACCTTGTTCAACCCTTTCAGAGCTAAACAGCCTAAGTGCATGTTTTGTGTGTAACTCAAGTAACGTCTGCTGACATTCAGGTGTTTAGGTCATTTGCAAGCTTATTTTTGGAGGTACTTTGTGAAGAAAAGGTTTCCTATAACATCTCTTTCACTGATCACCTGCTTTTAAAACCCCAGAAGCCAACATTCCTCCTAACAACAAAAGTTCTTTTCTGTAAAACAATGAAAAAATATTGGAGAGTTTTCTCACTCATAAGAATTTTAATTGGGTTAAGCCACCAAAATGTCATAATAAGAGAAATGTCTTGTTGTGCATGTTAATACTTAGTCATTATAAAGTGCTTTTCATCTTCAAAACTCTTTACAAGTATTAAGCACCAATCCCTGAAGATCGTACGCACAATTTCCATTGCCCTCCATAGGAGATTTGCCTGAGGAAAACTTGAGTAAGGACTTCAGGATTGGGCTCTAACACATTAACCTACACATCTCATCCATGTTAGGTAGATAAGTATTATCCCCACATGAGATGGAACAATGGAAGCAGAAAATAACTGATCAGGCCATGCCTCTCCTTTCAAAAGCATGGCACTCCTCTCTCTGCTTTTTGATTATTGAGTGTTTCAGAACCCAACTTGAATATTGTTTGTTTTGCCAAGCTCATATCAACATGCCTTCCAATTGCCTATTCATCTCTAGACCAGAGAACAAAAAACAAGCTGGCTTAAACTGTGAGGATTTACACCATAATGCACAGCTCCAGACCAGATACCCTTGATTCAAGCAACCAGGCATATAAAAACTCATTTTTTAAGATTCAATCAGGAAACATTAGCTGGAGTTACATTTTGCTCCACATAATCATACATTATGTTCCTAGCAAATGTATTTTAAAAGTTTCCTGCACTACAAAACCCCCATAGTACTAATTATTCTATTGTCTGAGGAAGACTTAATTTCACCTCTAATTGCTACTGCAGATATGATGTTTTTGAGATGAACTATTAACATTGCTTAGACCATAGTTAGAGCTGTTCAGCTGCAATCACTTTTAACAGCTCATGACCCATAGCATGCTCATTATACTGGAGCTTTTAATAATGAAATTCTTTGGTGCAAACATGTGACATTGGTGAACAATTTTCTTTGTACTTACCATATGATTTTTATGCCACTTCGCTGAACACAGAATGTAATATATTTGGGCTTTTTATTGCTTGAGTAGAAAGTGCTCATTACCTATTTGTTTATGTTTATATATAGGAAAAAAACAAACAGTTTTTCAAGTGGCATACATCACACTGTTGTAGTGGTTGACTTTCTCAAGATGGTCTTCTGGGGTTTTGGTGCAGTTTGTGGAGGCACAGTCGCAGGTCTGAGAGGGGGAAAGCTATTACTGGGACTTATTCCCAAGCCTCCATTTTCTAGAGGCAATGGAGGGAGAGGAGGAGGCGGCGGTGGTAAAGGAGGACATTGGTGAGGAAGCTTTCCCAGCGGGTGGGCCGTCTCACTGTGTAAGTGGACCTCCCTGTTTTTAATGTTATACCGAACGTCACAGTCAGGGCAATAGCCATGGTACTGCACTTTCTCACTAAATCGTACTCGTTCCCGTGTTCCTGTCTGAGGACACCTGTCTTTATCTGGTCTATGAATCAGAGGATGCATTGGAACTTTGTCCAAGTTACTATTAGGTATGCAAAATACATCCCCATTAGGAATCTTGTTTGGTCCTCCTGGTAAACCTCCATTTCGAAGTAGGGTCCCATTAGTCTTTACAGGGTTGGCAGAAGGAACTGGCCTGTGAGGGTCTTCACACTTCACTGGAGTCAACCGTGGTGGAGGTGGTGGTGGATTGGGTTTCCTCAGTACGGTGAGAATGGCAGATGGGTGTGCTGGGGGCTTGATGAGAGGTGCATTGGCACGCACTTTGGCTTTCTCCAAGCTGGACGCTGTTGTGCTGCTTGAGCTGCTGTTCAGCGTGTCAGTTTTGGAACTGTCTGTCATCTCATCCTCCAGCTGCAGGTCAGATGTCAATGTGTCAATCTGATCAACCACCTGCATGGAAATCAGAACACAAACAGTGATAAAGGTTCGCCACAGTAAAGACAAACAAACAAAGCTTTATTCACAATCATCTTTATCCCCTTCCTGGAACTGAAACATTTTAATATTCAGTGTTATGAACCATTGTTTCTTTTTTCTTCTTGTCTAAATCTAGTTTAATTTAAAAAAAAAAATCTGTAGTTAGTCCTCTCATCTGAATACAATGGAAATACAATTTTAGCCTCTCTACAATGAAATTCTGTACTTTTTCTCCAGGGCTTATCTACCAATAACACGCTGCGTGAGCTATAATCCTTCAGTAACACAGTTTGCCTCACCGTGTAGGGGAAGGCTGAATGATTTAACCTCAGTTTGTTCAGGATGATTTTTGAATCCAGACCTACTGTAGAAGATCTTTTAGATTTGACCTTTAACAAAATCCAGATTTAAACATGTATCTCAGAATTGGTGATATTGTGGATATATCGTCAAAAGTTAACATACACGCCTATATAAGCAATTTTTACACAAACTGCTAAAGATTCAAGTAGTGAGTAGCAGTTACCAGCTTATCTTGAACCACACATTCTCCTTCTGTGACTATTTACTTGAGATATCTGACTCCCCCTAAACCAAATCTGAAATAGGATCATTTCTAAGATAAAGATATTGTGATTGTTTATTCCTGAAGGGGATAATTCACTATTTCATGCATTTTATATTAAGAGAATTCTCTATCTACCATACTTCTAATGTGCTTCCACTCACTTCCCTAGTATCTAGGTTGTTCTAATCTAGTCTTCTATTTTCCAATTTATGATCATAATATATAAACAAAACATATAAAGTATGTAATGTTGCCTTCTGCTAGGTATACAAAACTTCGTACACTATGATTAAAAGCCCCTCCTGAAAACTGCACCCTATTCAGTTCTTAGTTCATTAACCCTTAAGGTAAATACAGCCATAAAAGCATAGGAGGGAAATACAAATTTGAAAAAAATAAAAGATGAAAATACCTTTCCCATGTCCTTATTACCACTGCAGGATGTACCCGGACAACATCCAATCATAGAAATGCTATTGCTAAACTTATTTTCCATTTTTAGCATGTTTTCATATAACAAGTTTTTTTTCTACTTGTAAGGGAACACATTGATGTCCTTGACTTAACCAAAGGATTATTCAAAAGGAGAGAGATTCAAGTAGCCTCTTTAAAGGAGATTCAATTATTTACATGTGCTTTGAAAACACTTATCCAAAGTCTGTCTAAATGCAAGTAGAACAAAGGACTGTAATTCAGATATTTTTGTGAACTATATGTTTCAAAGTGACAATACATTAGTTCTGTTGTAATTCTTCAGAAAAGGTTGAAATTCAAGATAATACAGTAATATTTATTAAGCTAGTCTAATTATTCTTTGTAAGTAAATTACCTAAAGAATTTAGCCCCTTTTCTCTTAAGAATCATTTGGAATTTCTATGGCCTGGTCTACACTTAAAACAGGATTGACATAGCTACATGGCACTCAGGGGTGTGCAAAATCTACAGCTATGGTGATCTAACCCCCGGTGTAGATACAGCTAGGGTGACAGAAGAATGCTTCCGTTGAACTAGACACCATCACTCATTCAAATGGAGTTCCTACAACAACAGAAAAACCTCTTCCATTGCCGTAGTCTGCATCTACCCTAAAGGGTTACAGCACCATAACTATGCCATCGTAGCTATGCCACTGTAGTGCCCATAGGGTAAATGTGGCCTATGGAAGTACTTCTATTTCTCAATATTTGAATACTATAATTTATGCAAACAAATTTCATCCTTTATGGTCCTGGCAAACTGCTCACATTGATTATTCCGTGTTTATAGTGTGTGACTGGTCACAAGTCACATGATATTGTTTCTGCTTCCTGAATGGAGCAGAAGAGATTACAAACAAGGAGAATAATTGTGGTGTACTGAAATCTGTTCTAAAATTTTGAAGAATAAGGAGCTCCAGAGGGAAATTTATGATCTGAGTCTTCAGCAGAGACAGTCTGCAGAGACACAGCCTAGAGGAAGGTGGGTTGAGGTGTGCCTCTCTACCTTAAGAGAGCAGCCTGCTTTGCCTCTCGCTCTGTTTTTGATTCTTGTGTGTTAGGGTTCTAGATGCTAAGAAATGAAATAGTGTTATGTTGCAACTTTCCAGCAAAAGTATTTCATGGTTTTATTTAACTTATTGGGGTGTATGATGCGAACATAACAACAATAAACAACAGAGTTAATAATGAACAACAAATAGTGAACACACGTATTCCCATATTAATACAAGTATACATACATGATGACATTCACCTCTGTGCAAGTGGCCAACACAAGGCCAATTCCTATTTAAATGGTGTACAAGCCTTGTGTTGGCCCATTGCACAACAGCAAATGTCACCTACTAAGGACAGGCATCAATCATTCATCCAAACCAACAACTCATCTGCATGAATGCTGGTAAGCAGCACCAAATAGTTAAACCGAATAGCTTTTTGGAATTTGAACAAATATTTGTAACACTTCTTGTAAAGTATCCAAGAAGCTTTCACATACTTCAAGTTTAGTACTCTCAACCTTTTGCTTTTTTCACATTTGCAAAAATTCACATACAATAAAGCCTGAACTTCTTTTTCACTTTCAAAAAAAGAACAGGAGTACTTGTGGCACTTTAGAGACTAAGGTGCCACAAGTACTCCTGTTCTTTTTGCGGATACAGACTAACACGGCTGCTACTCTGAAACCAATTTTTCACTTTCAGTTCACTTTAAAAGAGGTCAATACCTGTATATTGTAGAACCTCAGCATTATGAACACCAGGGTTACAAACTGACCAGTCAACCACACGCCTCATTTGGAACCGAAAGTACACAATCAAGCAGCAGCTGAGACAAAATTTTTAAAAAACAACAAAAAAGTACAGTAAGTACTGTGTTAAACATAAACTATTAAAAATAAAGGGAAAGCAGCATTTTACTTCTGCATAGTAAAGTTTCAAAGCTGTATTAAGTCAATGTTCAGTTGTAAACTTTTGAAAGAACAACCATAACATTTTGTTCAGTCACCTCCATTCCCGAGGTGTTTGTAACTCTGAGGTTCTACTGTACTCTGAATAACACAGAACATAAGAATAGCAATACTGGGTCAGACCAAAGGTCCATCTAACCCAGTATCCTGTCTTCCAACAGTGGCCAGTGCCAGGTGCCCCAGAGGGAATGAACAGAACAGGGAATCAAGTGATCCATCCCCTGTCGCCCATTCCCAGCTTTTGGCGAACAGAGGATACGGACACTCAGAGCATGGTGTTGCACCCGTGCTCATCCTGGCTAATAGCCATTGATGGGTCTATCCTCCAGGAACTTATCTAGTTCTTTTTTCTCCAAGCTGAAAAGTCCCAGTCTTTTTAAATCTTTCCTCATATGGAAGCTGTTCCTTACCCTTAATCATTTTAGTTGCCCTTCTTTATTCCTTTTCCAATATATCTTTTTTAAGATGAGAAGACCACATCCTTACACAGTATTCAAGATGTGGGTGTACCATGGATTTATATAGAGGCAGTCTGATATTTTCCTGTCTTGTTATCTATCCCTTTCCTAATGGTTCCTAACATTCTGTTAGCTTTTTTGACTACCGCTGCACATTGAGCAGATGTTTTCAGAGAACTATCCACAATGACTCCAAGATCTCTTTCTTGAGTAGTAACAGCTAATTTGGACACCATCATTTTGTATGTATAGTTCAACAGACTGGCTATAGGAAAATAACTCCGAAGAGAAAAAAAAAAAAGCCAGCAATCTGAAAAAAATTGTCATTACATTTTTTTCTTTCTCTGAGGACCCAATAGATCCAACATATATATGTTAATTAAGAAACAAATTCTTCGCTGTCTTGAAGGCTCAGATTTGGCATTTTGTTTTTTTGTGATCAATAAATAAGGACCAAATTCTACCCTCAGAGGTATATATTTGCATCAGAAGAATTTGGTTCTGATGAAGATGGAGATGAGACACTATGAGAGGTGCAGCACCTCAGCAGCTTCACCCCCTCTTCCCTCCCCCCCTCCCCTGAAAGGGGAGAGTATATTATTTCTCTCCCCTATTGGTATTTAGGTAATGCCCAGTGGCCTCAAAATGTAGTTGGATTCCCTCTGTGCTAGTCACTGTACAAACACACAGTAAGAGGGACTTCCTTCTCCAAAGATCTTACAAGGAGAAAAAAATAATACAGTCCTAGCTCCAATTTACACATGTGGAACTGAGATAAACAGATTAAGTGACTACTTAAAATCACATAGGGAGTCTGTGACAGAACTGAATCTACCAGGATGAATGGGGCACTGGGCCCTGATAATGCAAGCTGATCCACACAGGCTTCACGTGAGTGTAAGGGTCTGCCTGTACAGAGCTGCTTGGATAATTGGGCCCAAGAAGAGTCTAGAGTCAAAGTTTTCTGTGCCAACAAATAACAGCTACAGAACTGAATAATACAGCACAGATCAGAGAAGATAGCTAAGCTAAGCTGTCAGCCAGGGAGAGAACAAGGTCATTAGGCAACTGAAGGCAAGGGGGAAGAAAAGACACATCTAGTGGCAATCTCCTAACTACCACAGGAGCTGTTCCAGTAAGGAGCAGTGTGGCCAGCGTTGCTTGGAGTGGTGAAAGCATACTGACCTGACTGGTAAAGACCGACTGGTATTACATTTGGCTTTGAGCAATGTTTAATAACAGATTCAGCAGATATGTCAAAATGCCATGGGGGAGCTGTACGTCTCTTGTGAACACAGAATCCTGCCCATCCCACTTATTCCCAGTCTCCCTTGCTTCCTATCACCCTTCCCCTCAAAGAGCTTTGGGTAATTGGGGGAATGCAGTAACCAACATGGCCAGTGTAGACTGGACAAACAGGAAAGGCTGCTCAGGTGAAGAGGTCAGAGCAGTGCTTCTTGTTATGCAATATGACAGAGATCAGCTTAATAAACAACCAAATC